TCCTGCCATCTGATGCAGTAGCCATGGTCAAGTGCCTAGGAGAGAGAAGTAAAGCATGAAGGGGAACCTTAATAAAGAGCTTCTAAGAAAGTTCACAGATCCCAGAGGATCCTGGTGGACAGCCAAAGAGCTGACACCTGGTGGACAGCCAAAGAGCTGACAAAGGCCCGGGCCCTGGCTTTTCCAAATGACTGGAAGATAGCCACAGCCTCTTCCCCAACTTTATGCGGTCATAGAAAGCTAATTTACCTTTTGCATCAGTGCTGTCAGAATCATCCTGGGGAAGAAAAAGACAAAAGCGTTTGTAGGGTCTCAAATTCTACAGTGAACATTTGTGTTCACAAATGCTGCTCACTCCTTCCCGCTCTCGAAGATTTCTTTTGTGCTTTTCTAAACCACACGACCTCTTGGGAGACTAATGCAGAAGGATTTAAACTTTGAAAAATAAAATAAATCACTGGCACTCAATAAATAGCACTATGTCATATATATCATTTAGTTCAGAATTTCGATTAATGCTACTGTTCCTTGGAGCTGTAAAGATACTCAACAAGGACTGGTGCTGTTGAGTGGAGAAGCAGAGGAGAGGTAGGAAGGAGGAGGGTCTTGCTGGGATTGTCTAAAGCCTGAAGAAGAACACTCGGCCTCCCGTGTCAAAGTCAGATTCTGCTCACATACACTGAGAACTACTCTGTGTCAGGGACTGGGATAGGCCCTTATTTTTAAGGGCTAAAAAGAAACTGAAGGGTCAAAGGGCAGGCTTCGCTTACATCCAGGTCATCCATGGCAGGGGGAGGTCTCTTGGTGCTGACCTTCTTCAAAAGCTGGTGGGAAGAAAAACGTAGTCACAAGGGAGAAGAGGGGTGAGGGAAGATAAATTTGCATATTCATGGACCACAGGAAAACCTTCCCAGCCAGGGCCAGCCAGGCAACTGCCCCCTTCTTCAAAACCCCGAAACATCACTGGAATTAATTGGAGAAAAGTAAATTGATCCCCTTCTTAAAAGGAAAATTCAACACACACATAGAGCACACTCCTTACTAGTGCAGGTTAGTGTCTATTAGTGTTTTATGACTTGAATAAATACTAGCTGAAATTATCAAACCAAATTACACATGGCAAGATGCTATTTATTGCAAACCAGTGATTTACTTTCTGATGTCAATTTTATACTCTTACTTTGAGCTTCCCACAAAATTGTCTGGTTCAGAGGGAAAAAATTAACACAAAGAAAACAGAAGTGGGAACATGAGCTACAGAAAAGTGGGAAAATATTTTTCTAAACTTTGTAAGAACACAGGCTCTACTCTGAATAGAAAGTGAATCTGTTTATACAATTTTACTAATAGAAGTCATTTCTCTCACCTCTGCTAAACAAACATCGCACAAAATATGTAAAGAATATCACCACCAATGAGTAGCTTGCCTGGGGAGCTTGTATATTTCTGCTGGACCCTGGTGACAATCATCCACAAAAATGTGTAGAGAGATGATCAAGATGGGTAAGAAGCGGCAGGTGCTGTCTCTCTCTTACCTCTGCATAATGTTCCATGTGAGCCAGTTCCACCTCTTCATCCCCTTCCCAGTCTCTCCAGTTATCAAAGTCCACAGACAGCCATACTGGCTGAAAGAGGAAGCACAGAGAATCATAGGCCGGCAGGACAGTGGCAGAAGTGCATGGGAGAGGGGAGAAGAGTCAATTGGGGTACAGTTCTCCCAACAGCACCCCTTTAAATGCTAGCCCCCCTCCAAGCTGCCATGTCATCATCTTCATCCACAAAGACTCACTAGGAACCTACTAAGTGCCAAGCACAATGCTAGACATTGCAGAGGATAGAAAAAAGCATAGAAGTTCTGCCTTCCATGAGCTTACAGATTAACTAAGGAGATAACATATATTACAACTATATTATATGGCATCATAGGAGTCAAACAAGTGAGACAGACAAGCTCCATTCCTTGGAGTCAGAGAAAACCCTTCAAGATTCATGTTCCAAAGTTCTTACACTTAGGCAGTGAAAGAAGTTATTCACTCATTCATTTAACAGACATCTACTGAACACATACTATATACCAGACTCTGAGCTGGGCATTGGGATTATAAAAAGGGTTCAACACACTGTCCCAGTCACCAGGAAGTAAATAGGGGAGGGAGATATGAAAAAATCATTATAATACCATGGGAAAAGTGTGGTGATGGGGTTATGTAGGGAGTATCATGGAGTTACGGGAACCCAGGCTTCTTAGAGGAACAGGGCCTTGAAAGATGAGCTGCGTTAGGTGGACTGAGGGAATGGTGACGGAGGCTTTCCAGGAAGAAGGCACAGCCTGAGCAAAGGTACAGAGGTGAGAAACAGCCTGGTGTGTGCAAGAACTACAGGCAGTTTGCTGAGGCTGGAATGTAAAGCTGGAGA